TCCCTCATTTGGCTGTTGTTTTAGCTGAGAGCTAAGGACTGGTCCAACACGAGGTTTTCCCCAAAACCCAAATACTTACACTGTGTAAGTTCTTGTAACTTTTTGTACAACTCTGCCTAGTGCTGTAACACGTGCTTGGAGTTAGCGGCAGCTATTTTGCACTCAAACACTGTCTTGTTTTTGTTTATAGGTATAAATAGCATAGGGCTCAGCATATTCTGCCTGTTGTATTGTCTGTGTCGATTATGAGATGCAGGCAGACGGGCAAAATGACTCAGACTCAGCCACCAATATAGGACTGGGGGTTCTTTACAGAGGAGCGAGGTGACATGTCTGCAGACAGCTTCCAGTCGTGCCGCTTTAATGAAGCACCACCGATAGGGTTTCTGACCTGGGCTCTGTCTGGTGTTCCTCCAGCCGGCACCACGTTCATATTCGGCAAAGGCGGAGGGCTCATCGCGTTCACCTGGCCTGCCAATGACCGCCCCAGCACCCGCACGGACCGCTTGACCGTGGGCTTCAGCACCTCACTGAAGGACGGCATCCTGGTGCGCGTGGACAGTGCCCCCGGCCTTGGAGACTACCTCATGCTGCACATTGTGAGTAGGCCATGTGCCCCATGTCTCGTCTGCACCGCTCACACTCTCCGACAAATCACTGCACCTCTAATAAAGCCGAATATAAATTGCTCAATTAGTCGACCCTGGCAGATACTGTAGCGCGTGGGGAAAATTAAAGGCATGTTAAAGTAGGGCTGTGAACCAAAAATACTCCCCAGGCTGCTTACCGCTAAGCCTTTCAGCCTGCGATTCTTTCTCCGGGGCCTGATGGGTGTTCCCGATGGGGCACAGCTTGGTGGGATGTGCAGTGTTTTCCTGTGAGCAATACTCTCTGAAACAATAACCTTGTAGGGATGTCTCAACAAAGTACATGTCTCCTTTTAGTCAGTGTTTAAACTAAAAGTGTAAGAACTTTCTTATATATTTTTGAGTTGATATAGCTAGTACTGGAATGTGTAAATCAATCTTTACACATTCAAGGGGGAGTGAGTGTGTAGTGCATACATAGGCACGTGTGTCTAGTAGACTGTAGGAAAACTCAAATAGTCAGTGATCTGTGGCAGTAGCCTTATGCACAATTATCTGTTGAAGCTCATTTGCACAGTAGCCTGCCCTCCACTTGCTTGGAGCTGAGAGGAAAACTGTTGAATGTTTTACTCTTCACGTTTTGTCTCAGTAGGGCCTTGCTCCGATCTCAGTATTGATCGCTGGTGTGTTGATAGTCCCTGGTTCCCCAACCCAGATATGTTCTTCATTAAAGATGCATTCCCACTGAATTTAACTATGGTCATAGACAAGAATCAATCACCTTCGAGATTAACAGAAGTATGCAGAGGACCAGCACTGCATGCCCCTCTGGCCATCCTTTCTTTCATGTATGCCAATCTCCTGTTCAGCTGTAAAGTATATAATCTGCAGAGTGACTCGTCAGTCCGCTCTGTTCTGTGGGAGCCATGCTTTTGTGGTTTTTATTTACACTGAAGGGTTTATTTCTTGGTGGCGACATCCTATTCTTTTGAAAGGGTTTTGACTCCATCTGAACCCATCTAACAAGTTTTTCTTAGAAACTCTGATCTTGCTTTTTTAAAATAATGTCTTAACAGGGAACCCTTGGGTCCCGTTTTATAATCCACACCCTGCTACTTTTCTGCTAAAGGATGCTTTAGTCTGTTAGACTCACATTACTCTGTGATTGACATTACTCTGTGATTATAGAATTACTCCAGACATGGTGCACCTGAAGACCTTTAAACCTGGCGTAGGAGAGGTTCTGGTCCTAACCGATTGCGCAGCTCTTTGAGCCCAGAGGCCCAGCCCATTCCCTGGGCTCCAGGCTGCCATTTTGCCAGCGGACGTCCATGCTTTAACATTTGTGGGCTAAGCCAGGAAACCCACTGAGGGACACCTTGTTGAAGATCCTGAGCACTAACTAAATGTCAGCGATCTTAAAATGGGTCACCTCAGCAAAGGCATTTAGCTTTACTCTAAGAGAGTCAGAGCATGAAATATAAGACCTAAAGATGCACTGGACTCATATACCAACTGTTTCGAAAATTGGCTCTCCTTACTTTTAAATTGGAATATTTGTGGGTAAATCTGTGGAGTATGTTTAATTCCCTCATCCGCTCTAAGATGGAGGCAGCCCTCTACTCAACAGCCAAGCCACGCATCTGTGGGAAGAAGCCTTCTGGTCGTTAAGAGCAAATGCCTTCTTTTCTCTGGTGGCCAGCTGCAAGCCGGTGCATAATCAGGGCGGAGGTGTAATGCTCTCTGGAGCTCCCCTCAGTGGGAGGCCGAGGGATTTGGGCACGAACGTGGTGTGCCGCCTTAATTGGTATGGCCCGCCGCTATATCTGTTCTCAGTCAGACCTTGCAGACCAGCCTCTGTGCCAAAGTATTCAGCTAGAGCACCAAGGCCATTTTCAGAGAGCATAGGGGTACCACCAGTTGTGTGTTGATGTTTCCTTGCAACAAACTACTGGCTTATTAGGGTTCTCCATGAGCCCTGGCAATATGGTCGGCGAATAGAAATGAAATTTTCCCGGAGGTAACCCCCCCCTCCCCAGGTTAAATATATTAAAATATTAGTGTGCATTTCTTTAAACATCTAGGCACTGGCGCAGTGAATTGTAGTTCTTGATACATGCCTACAGACTGAAAATTTTCAAAGTAGCTCAGTATTAGACATTTCTTTTGCCTGACAGTGAAGAGTTAGAGTTACTTGGCTGAAATGTAAGGGGGATGTGGCCAAAACTGGCCACCGCATGATACGTAGTTAGACTGTGTTTCTCAAATAGGTCCTTTGACACAGTTTGTTGCATGAGAAGATGATAACTCGTCGATTATGCTGGAGGCTGGGTTAGAATAAGGTTATACTTGCATGTTTGGGTGGTTTGCAAACACACAGTGACAGATTTGGAGAGGTGATGTATGATGGCATTTTTATTTGTTAGACTGATCTGGAATGACTGTATAATAAAGGTGGGAGAGGTACACACAGAGAAAAGCACTGCAGGGGTCAAACCATTGCACATGGACCCTCTGAGTCTCTTTGTGGCCACATTCATATCCGCACCTAGTGTGTGTGAGGGTGGGATGGCGAAACCCTGGACTAATCTGGATAAAATGGAAGGGTTCCTTCACACCTCAGTGAAACTCATTCTTTCCCCAACCCTTGTGACCAGCACATACTTGAAGTACTTAGCCAAAAGCAAGGGATAGAATAAATGCATTTATAATAAATTGTGTTTGCAATAGGAATGCATTTTCAAAATTAGGTGTTTTATAGGCAGTGATTGTTTCAAATGAATAAAAATGTAGGGAAATGAGGTCAAGTAATGTATGTAGTTTTGAAGATGAATCATCCTGCCAACTAAAGGATGTCCATGCAGAGGGAGAACCTCTGAGAGGGGCCTTGTCACATCACATCTTCCTGCCTGTATTACTCGGAGTTCAGCTGGACAGCTGACGGGATTCTAATTCTGATTCCGGTACTCAATGCTGCTACCATTCAGCCTTAATCTGTGCTGCCAAATGCATCACCTGATGGGTCAGATGGAGTCACAGGGTTTGCAGAACGTGATGCTGAACCGTCAAACACTAAACAATGTTGTTTTGCTTGCAAGAGAAACCTGCAGAACAGCAGGCCTTTCGATCACATGAGGACGGATAACCAGCGACAGGAAATGGGGCATATCAGTAATTCCTCTGTATGCTAGATAAAGCTGTTCTCCTTGACTAGTCCATGGATCAGCTGTGTTCTCCTAAATTCATGATGGAGAACAAACGGCACTGGGCGTAAGCCCTATACCCCAGACACTGTATGTGTTCATTGATATGCGCTGAATTTGGTGGGACTGCTCTCCCAGATCAGAAGGGACCTTTCGCTTTTTGCACAGTCCCGCTGTGTTTCTGAAAGGGCCAGAGTAGTTCAGGTGGATCAAGCGAGTGTCTCAGAGGTGAAGGTGAACCAGGCCTAATACCCCCCCCCCCCCCCCCGCAAGCAGTTCACCCCTGAGGTTGTGGTTCTGTCCCATTATCTCTGATTCATGAATCAATACTCCAGTTTAATATTAAAACTTCTAATTCTTAGAGCCCCCCTTCGCCTAGGTATGGTCTGCCCAGTCATCCAGCTCCAGCCCCAGGGGAGAAACTGCCCCATGCTGCCTTTCTCCTAGTGATTAATTAATTCAATTTAGCCTGAACTGTAATTCCATGCTCCCTCCTATGGTCGTGGGGGAATCGCTGTGGGGCTTGAGCGAGGTGCTAAACGGCAGAGGCAAAGTGCTGCAGGACGAGCATCCGGAGGTAAGCGAGTCAGTTTGGCGCAAAGTCACAATGTTTCAGGTTGAGCATGACGGGTCCTGCTAGGAAATGAAAATACAAGCATCCGCGAATATGGCAGCGGTCACAACTATTTGGCCTATGCTTTGGAAACACGGAGTTGAAGCTGGGAAGAGTAATGGGTTCCATGCTTGTTCATGAGATTTACTTTTTTTGGCCAAGAAAAAATAAAAGGCAATCATATTGGTCAGTGTGTGTATAGTGCACATTATGAGTAACCCTGATATTTCGAAAACACAGTATCGATATCATGTTAATAATACACATATGATAGTATCATAAGTAATTTTGCGGCAGTAACTACCTGATTTACACTCCATCATAGTAGGTGGCGGTACTGCTCCTTAACGCTGGTTTCCAGCAGAGCTTAATTTGTAAACTTTGAGGTGGCAGAGCTTATAAAGAGCACAGAAACCAGCTGCAACCACCATTATATGAGGGGGCGTATATCACACACACACACACACACACACACAACAATAATGAACTATTAATTACTTAAACACGCAACAATGCAATATATTCTATCAACCGTTGTTAGTTACATCAAACTAAAAGACAGACTTACCCTATTTAATGAGTGTAATGACACAGAAGTTAACAAAGTATTTTATTAGCAAAAAAAGGTGGATTTTTCTGTGCACGTTTAGTGTGGTTTTTCCCTTTTCAAATCAAGTCAGATAAGCAAAACCTGCCATAAACATGCCAGCGACGTGGTATTTTGGTGGACTTATTGCTTTGGTTTACTCTGAACTGAAATAAGAAGTTTGACGTATTTTGCATTCATTACAGTCCCATTTATAACATTTATAACACTCCAAATCAGGTAAAAACTGGAAAAAGTAAATAACATTTCAAATGAACGATGTTGTTAAAAGAAATATTAATGGTGTCACTACAGGATTGTATGAAAAGACGGGCTGTTAGACTCCCCAGTCTGCTGGAAGTCAACAGTAAGCACAGAAGGAGGCTTTGCTTCTGGTTCTCTTTTCACCATCCATTAAGCAGGGTAATTGTGCTTTTTTACAGTTTTACTTATAAAGTCTCCACTTCACTACACTCATATTTTTCATGTAATTCATTTGCCAAAGAAGAGACAAAACACACAAGCAAATTTAAAGACGAATTTAACTGGTAGCATTATTAAAGCCGTTAAATAAAGGAGGGGGGTGGCTTGGTAGGGTAGTGGTTAGCAACAGTGCCTCACACTCCCAGGACCAGGGTTCAAGCCTCTCCTCCCCATGCACAACCACCACCCCAACAACATGTGGAGGCCAAGACAGATGACCACCACCCTCAGGCCTCCCCCCCCCCAGAATATACAGTTAGGAAAAAATCAATTGCCACACTTAGGGCCCCCACCATATTATTAAACAAGTGTGAGAGCAGCAAGACTTATAATAATAATACACAACCCTTAACCCTTCTTTTCCTATAAACCAACAGGTAGGCCAAGGCTGGGCTTGAACCCATGACCTTCTGATCACAAGCACAGACACTTAGCCAACTAAGCCACACAG